TTCAGCAGTACTCACAGATCACACAACACCGTGTGTGTGTGTGTGTGTGTGTGTGTGTGTGTGTGTGTGTGTGTGTGTGTGTATAGAGGGCATCGAGGAGCCGGTAAAGCTGACCTCCAGTCAGGACGGTGTGTTCTCCTACGAGTATTATCCCAACAGCCCCGGAAAATTCACCGTCTCCATCACCTGGGGGGGTCAGCACATCCCCAAGAGGTGAGCTGTTACTGTTTGTGTCTGCTTGTGTGTTCAGAAAATTACCTCAGCACATGACCTGATCTGAATGGTTGGAGCCAAACACTGTGGGAGTGTTGTGTCCGATGTGTTCTTTATTTAGTCTCGGGCTGGGTCCTTTGTCCTTCATAGGGTTTTTTATCATATTCAGTGACCCTCATCCTGGTTTGGTTGACTAAACCAAAACAGGGCTTTGTGGACATTTAAGTCTTATCTTTGTTAACTAAAGCTGTAAATATTATTGTATAGTTTGATTCAAAGTAATTCATTGAAATCCCTTGCAAAAAAGTACATTTGAGTCTTATCATTAGAATATTTAAAAAACTAGTCAATCTAGTTTAGCCAGAAAATAACATTACTTAAACCTCCCGAACCCTGTTGTTATCATTGATGACTTAAACTGAAAAAAGTTATTTAGACTGTACATAAAACAGAACTGCTGCATTGACCAAATGTTTTTAAGTATAACAATTTGTAATCTTTTTATTAACGCATAAAATAGAGATTTTGTTCAAGTTTTTAAACTTGTTTTTGCAGTAATATTCCACAATTATATTACAGCACAATACAGCAGTTAGAATTTAATGACATCGTTGACCTCTCATCATAACCTTAGTCATGGAGAAAAAAGTCATTGATTCACTTATTAAGTCATCGTAGCCACACTTAGACAAACAAGATCTGTATCTGAACTTGTACATGTTAGGGAAATATCTGTAAATATATAATTAAATGAAGCAAAACATTTCACAGAGTCATGTCCTGTGTCTAAATGCTGTTGAGTCATAATTACACACAGGCAGCCTCAGAGGTCAGACACAAGAGAACGTTCCCACAATGAAGAAGCAATCTTCAAATCTGTGGAGGTTCGGAGAAGCTGACCTTGAGCATGTTTCTGTTTTATTTCATCCAGCGCTGACTGTTAGGTCATCCAGATACTGTAACACACAGAGAACGTGTTCTATCTCTGTTTCTGATTATCTGCTGGACGGACACAGAGACAGACAGGGAGAGAGTTTCAAGCTTTTTATCCAGATTATACAAATTAGGACAAGCTACCTGAAGTACTTTCAGGGTGTCATGTAAACACTTTAACTATGTTTATGAACGCATTTGTTGATACAAAACATAATGATTCAATTGTTTAAAAATCCAGACAAATGTGCACAGATGAACAGAACACTTCATGTTAACTGAATAACCAGTTTATGAGTCCTGAGCTGGAAGTTCTGTGAGTAGATTTTTCAGCAAAGCTCTTGCATACAACATTTTGGAAATCACTGGAAAAACTCATTAGTCGTGGTCCTGCCTTGTGAACGGCATATATTTTTTGGCATCACTGGGAAGATTGTCGATATCCACTTTGATCCATCTTACTTTTCTTTTAAATATAGACATATTATCTTTTCTAGCATTTGGACTACCTATGTTGCAAATGTATTATCTTTTTAATTTACACATGGCATCTATTGCCCGGCCGTTCCATCCTGGGAGAGGGATCCCTCCTCTGTTGCTCTCCCTGAGGTTTCTTCCATGTTATCCCATTAACTGTGGGGGGTTTCTTTGGGAGTTTTTACTTTTCCGATGTGAGGGTCTAAGCAGTGTTTCCCCTAGGTTTACTGCTTTGGGGGGGTGCTGCCTTGGGGGGGGGGGCGCATTGGGATATATATTTTTAAATCCTCTGTAGCAGAGAGAGGAGCTGTGGATTATTGTTATTGATTCATGCATCAGTGTTTCTTAGGGTCAAAAACACTAAACTCACAACTTCAAAATGAAAGCGTTGCCGACCTACACTGTGGCCTTTGTGCACATGATAGTAAAGCCTTTGAACCTGGTGAACCTCTGGGCAGGCTGCACATCTGATGCAGCTCTGCAGCCCGCTCAGAGGCTTGGTCCAGATGTGGCCAAGTTAAATGTCCAGCCTGTCAGAACTCCCAGCTACAGGTAGCCCGGAGACCTCAGTGTTCATACATTACAGATGCACCAGGACACGGATCATCTACAGAAGGCTAAATCACAGATGAGAGAAAGCCGGATTAAACATCTGTACAGCTGTGTGCTCGGAAATGCACGTTAGGAAGGGAAGTGATATAACAGTGTTTATAGTGCTCACTCACACAGATGCACCAATTAAAATACAGCACAGATGGCATCGGTGGTGCTACACATGTGTTTTACTGCTGAAATATTACAAAACAAATATTATTCTGATGAAAATAGTATATAATAAATAAATTAGAATAATACTTATTATTATGATGAATTATAAATAATTATATTGTTATTATAACATATTTATTCGAGTATGTGATGGCATTGTTGTGGTATATCAACTGCCATTTTGCCCTGTTATTTTTAATGGTAAAGCCTGGTTAACGCTTGTTATTTCTATTTAAATTGGCTTTTTTAAACGGTTGATTTCCTTATTTTTAGTAGTAACAGCAGAAGTAGTAGTTGGTGTAGGGGGACGTTTTGGCAGACACTTTAAAAAAGTTAGACAAAGACACAATTGAAGGCAAGAGGGGAAAAAGGAAAGTGTGTGACGGTAAATCCCAACAGACAGTTTTATTTGGCGTGAAGCTAGTTTCTGAACACACACACACACACACACACACACACACACACACACACACACACACACACACACACACACACACACACACACACACTCTCGCCCTTAGAGAGAGGAGGCTGAGATATGGAGGAGCTG